GACTAAATCCTCGTAGTCTCTTCTTAACTGATCATGACGTCTCGTTGGTCTTTCAAGTGATACATTGTTCGCTAATCCATTCACAGCTCTCAAATTCTCGCCTTGCTCATTGCCTCCGTGTCGTCTTTCGAAATTTCTCCGCATACGTTCCCTCTCAGTACTGACGGCGTCTCTTAATCCGTTAGGTGAATTCATATCTACGTCAGATAAACTATCGTCCGAATCAAATGAATAATGTCTCCGCAGATTCACTCCAAAATCACCAAGTGCATCTGCCATCCGTTGCTGCCTTACTCGTGGTATATTTTCTCCAGACCAATCCCGATCTGTCAAATTCCGCCTTGCTCTGAAGGTAACTTCTTGAAATATCCCCGCAAGTTCCTCTCCGGCTCCTGGCACCACTGAGTCCAGCGAGTTTGATCTAAGTAATGGAAACTTATCTCGACTTACGTGTCCAGATGTACCCTCAAAACTCATTTGCCTTTGCCGTTATTTACTATCCACTCCTCCAAGTAGCCCAGGTATCCCCGAGTCACGTTACAATGACCCACCTAAAACCTGTAATATTGCCTAGTAATCCAAGTAGCTTGTTCAATGCTTACTCCTCCAAGTAGCCGCGATATCTACTCCTCCAAGTAGTTCGTTGAATGCTTACTTCTCCGAGTAGCCCAGGTATATCAATGGTATCCTCAAGTTGACCCACTGAAATCCTGCAATCCGAAGTCCATCGGCCGCTCAGCTATTTGCTGACACGTGTTCCCTGACCACTGCACCGTTGGTCAGTGACACCCGAAAAAATGCAACGTCGTTCCCTATGTAGACTTGGTTTCAATACTACGTCCCTCCGTACGTAGATTTCAGAATTTAACGCGGACGTCACTCAGTACGTCGACGTGAAAATTTAAATACCTTATTATTGTAGCCGAACACCGCTGCCACCAAATGTTGTACCCAGCGTGGGGGGTACTTATAATTACAGTAGGTTCTAGGCTTAAAGGGATAAATCCCACCAATGGTTTATCGGTATTTAAATATGAGAATTTATTACATGATTATAATTACTGTGTCATCTGACTGATTACAAAGAGTTTACGACCTTTATACGCGTTGGAGTCCAATTCAGGTCTGTTCTGTGCAGACCCAATCGTCTCTTAAATAATACATTGATTGTTTATATTTCATCACTTGGTCAGCATAATCCAGTTACGCTGGTAAGTGTCACGCTGACAATGCTGTATGTCCACATATTAAACAATAACGCAATTGACCAAATCGGGGGCATAACAGTATTACAACTGGCGTATATCAGCAGTTTTGAAAATGATGGCCATTCTGATGGGAATGCAGCTGGGTTGGATGAAATATTGTTGTTTCTTATGCCATTGGGACAGCCGGGATAAAGGGAATCATTGGTCTCAGAAAGACTGGCCTACTCGTCGAGAGTTTTCACTGCTGGGAAACGCAACGTTATTCAACAACCACTCGCTGAGCCAGAAACGATTTGTTTACCACCATTGCATATCAAGTTGGGGCTCATCAAGAACTTCGTGAAAGCCTTGAACAAAGATGGACGAGCTTTCGATTACCTGAAACCTTTCTTCCCGAAGCTGAGTATGGCCAAGATAAAGGCTGGAATTTTCATTGGCCCCCAGCAAAAGAAATTGATGGATAATGACAGAAAATTTAGGGAAGTGCTGAAGGCCATCGAGTTAAAAGCATGGGAATCCCCCAAAGCTATTTGCCAGAATTTCCTGGGGAGTTCTCGATCTGAGAACTACAAAGAACCGGTTGCAGCAAGGCTGAAAAATTATGAAAAGATGAGATGTAACATGTCTCTAAAAATGCATTTTCTTTTCTCTCGTCTTGGTTTCTTCCCTGAGAGTTTATTGGATGTGAGTGATGAATATGGAGAGAGATTCCACCAGGATATTTCCACTCTGGAACATCGATATAATGGAAAGTCATCAAGGACAATGCTCGCAGATGACTGTTGGGTTTTATTTGATTCAAGTGAAGCTATTCACAAGAAGAAAGCCTCTCGACTATCCTTCCAGAATGCAGAAACCAGGAAAAGAGTGAAAGTTTCCAAATGAGACTTGGAATCGAGTGTAAATATTTTGAAAATTGAAATGAAAAAAGATTTAATACGTTATTCTTAGATAATTTGTAATTAATTGGTATTTTTTAGAGAGAAATTAGAAAGAAATGCTTGATTCGTTCATTTATTGTTTGGAAATTCTATTAAAAATTGAAAAAAAAAATCTTTCAAATGAAATAAAATTTGTTTTCAAATGAAACAATTGGGAGAAAAAATCAGGGTTTTAAAGTAGTTCGTCTTGCTCTGACTCACGGATGACGATTTCATCAAGGTTTGGAGGACTTGGCGAAGGACTTGATGGGGGACTTGGTGGAGGACTCGGTAGAGGGATTGATGGGGGACTTGATGGGGGGGGGGAGATACAGAAGATGTGAGCGAACGTGCGTCATCATCTTCGTCCAGAAACATCAGTTCATTCTCGAGGATGAATGGAGTTTCAGGATCCATCCGTCTCTCTTCGCGTTAGCGATCTCGCAATTAGCTAATAATTAGCTTTATGAACGTTATGAGAATGACCCTCGTCGTATACTTATGAAGTTTGTCCCTGAGATGGGAGGAGTCAACTGCTCACCAATTCTACGCCAAATGAATTTATTCATAGTGCTGTACCTCGATAGTCTATTTCGCTAAAGATCAGGTTGAGCCACTACGAGGGCAACGAGTCGTCTTGATTCTTCCACCTCCACGGTAGCTTGCTTTTTCAGTAGATAACCCTTCCTCGATAGATAGCCCTCAAAGTTTCGGGAATTTGAATTCCACGTGGGGATGCAACTTTAGATTGCTCCGCTATAATACTTCTGCGGGTATTAAATAGCATTTTTATTGATTTTTCTATGAAATATTCGGAGAATTTAATTTAAGAAACTTGTCATCGAACGATAGGCCTAAATTTTATCTCTTCACTGATATTCTTTCAATCTAATTGTTGTACGGCTTATTTTTTTATTAGTTTTAGAAAATTGAAATTCTAGGCCATTTGCACAACTTGAACATTTTTTTTCTCCACAAAGATCACGTTTCGGAGAAAATGGCCGCCACATTCGGAATCAGGGAGGAAAAATCTTCCTAGTGAGGGCCATTTCACCTCTAGATAAAAATGGGCCCAAATTTTGTCGGACTATGTTATGAGGGTATCTCTTCAATATTAGAGAATTTTTGAATAGACATTGGGAGAACAATTAATAGGAAAAGGTGAAATTTTTCAAATAAAACTGATGAGCTCGAATATAATTTGAAAAATTCGAGAAATTGATCGAGTTTTCTCAACAATTTCATGAACATTCAAAAAAAAAATCACAAAAATTTCGAAATTTTACGGAGAATTTGAAAAAATTTCAAATAATTCATGATTCAAGTTTCAAGTCCCATGATATCTCATAAAAATGTAAGAAAAATCATGAATTACGAGAATTACTCCGAATTAGCCAAAGAGCATCAGAATCGGCTTTATAATTTTTCCAGAAAAATAGTTGAATGTTGTTGTAAAGGTGTAAAGGAGAGTCAAGGTGGCGGCGAAGACCAAAAAATTCTGAGTTGTCAGAAATTCAATAATTATTGTTTTGTACTCTGAATCGAATTTTGATTATAATTATAGTTAGAACCACATTCAAGGAGCACAGGAATTCAGAATTAGTAAATCACTTATTGAAATATTGACATTGAAGAGGCGATCAACCGATAACCCTTATTTTCATGAATCTTACCACTCAGTATAATAAAACGATGATGAATCATTCATTTTTGAAAGAAACAAGGAAAAAAATTAAAAAAGATATAAGGGAAGGGCATCAGTATCGCGACCATGGCGGCGCTAGCGAATATGAAAAAGGAGCCTTTCAGTTTAACTGCGATAGCAATACAAAGCCAAAACTGCTAAGAGACTTAACTTAAGACCAGGAAGATTAAGATTTTAGGAAATTCATGACGATGTGTTTCAACTTTACAAAATCCTCTCCAAATAGGAGGGATAGAGAATGAATTATAGGAACGGTCAGGAAGTTTACAAGTTCCCTCAAAAATTAGAAAATTGTCGGTTTTTTCCGAATGTAAGATGACTCAAGCTTCCAGAGAATTTAAGACAATTATGAGAGTTTCTGAAAAAAAATAAAAAAAATACACGAGTTTGTCAGAAATTAGAACAAATTTTTAGTAGCTCTCAACTATTAGAACTGTTGAATAAACCATGGGAGAACAATTGATCGGAAAAGGCAGAAACTATCAAATAAAACTGATGTGAAGGAGTCACGCGACCCCAACGACTATACTCTGATTGATTCAAATGGGAAAAAAGAACATAGTTTAAAAAATCTGAGAACATAATTTGACCGGAATTTCCACGTTTTCGAAGCAAAATTTACAAGAATTGCGAGATTTCATAGAGAATTTGAAAAATTTTTAGATGCTTCATCAAAGTTTCAACTTCATGGCATCGTTGAATAAAGTTGTGTAAAAGATTATGAAGAAGGAGAAAATACTCTGAATTAGCGAAGGAGAACAGAATCGGTCATATAATTTGTCCAGCAAAAATAATTCAAAGCTATTGAAATGGTGTAAAAGAGAATGAAAGGGGTGACGAACACAAAACAATTCTGGTTTGTGAGAAGTTTAATAATTATTGTTTCGCACTCTGAACAGAATTTTGATTATAATTATGGTTAGAACATCATTCAGTGAGCACAGAAATTCAGAATTACTGAATTATTTATTGAAATATTGAAATTGAACCGGTGATGAACCGATCAACATTGTGTCCATTAATCTTAACACTAAGATTACTAAGGCGATGATGAATCAGTAATTTTTGTAAGAAACACAAGGAAAAAATGAGAAAGAGAATAATGAAAGGGCATCAACGTAGCGGCTGCGGCGGCGCTAGTCTATAATAAGTGAAAGCATCAAGTACCTGCAATGAACAATGATGGGTCCAGCTGATGGTGGATTAGCACTTGACGATTTACGAATGAAACTCAGTACTGGTAATGGATGATCCGGTACGCCATGATCAGGCCATCCGGTGTAATGATACTGGTAAACTGTACGTTCGCCAATATTTGTGTCCTTCTTCTTCTTCTTCTTAACTTTCAGATGACGAATGTGTAGTGTGCGAATTGTATAAGTTGCCATGATGTCCTCTTTGATAAGTGTTACTTGAATATTTCCGTAAATTTCAGTTTCTTCTTTCGGCCAGTACATATCACACTTGGCTCGTCCACGTTCAACAAGATTTGTAATCATGACGATTGTTGATACTCGCTGCTCCCATACCATGCGCCAAAAACTGTCGATTGTCCATTGGAGAGGTCCTTGAGTCCCAATGTAAGCATGAGATTTTTGCCATCCATCTATATAGTTGGCATTAATGTAATCATGACCTTTGTTGGGCGGACTACTGCTGCAGGGCAAGAGTCGGACACGAGAGTGATCATCTGCACAAGTGAAATTACATTACATATAAATAAAATTTTTTTTACAATTGTTAGGCTAGAAAATTAAGAGCCGAATACAAATCATATACTTTGCTCATTAATGATGAATCTGGAAAAAATATCAGGAAACGTCATCATATTTATAATTCTATTTCATCGAATTATTCATCTGAATCGTAAGGCTTACTATTATTTTGATAATATCAAGAAACTTTCCGTTTTATCTTGAGCGCCATACTCTTTGAAAGCTTCCGTCGATAATTTATCATGGAATCACTCATATATGTGGGATACATATTTTAAGTGAATGAGTGTTAGTGGGGAAAAAACCTAGTGAAAGGAAAACGCTATGGGGGGAGGTGGGAAAAGGCCTGATGGAATATTTTGGGAAAGCCGAGGATTAAGCCATAAAATGACAGTGCGGGCCCGAGTTCTATAGCCGCGACGGGTCAACGGGGAAATACGCCGGAGTGTCTGTCCATCGGGGAAGTACTCAGAGGAATTAAGAGACCGGGGGTCAGATTATAAAATAATAAAGTGAGGTTTGGGCCTGAGTGTAATTTCGTGAGTGAATAGAATGAGAAAGACAGAGTGCGAACGTGAGTGAGAAAGACGAGGATAACAGAGGACACTTTTAGCATTTAAGGACGAGCAAATGATTAGGGGAGTTAGTTGTTAGCCGGAGTTCGTAGTGTCGGGTTAAGACTTGTATATTTATGTACTTGAACGTTTAACTTTCTTTTCTATGAATAAATCGTATCATATCTTTTATTAAAATTACTGTCATGAAACCTACAAAATTGGGGGCTCAACCGGGATCGCGTCAGTATTAAAATTATTAAATGGATATGATATAGTTGGTGACGTAGTGTCGTGAAGTGAAGTTAAACAGTGACGGTGTTGGACAACGAGTGATAGGCAGACGGCCAATAGACGAAAATATCACTCAGAGAGCAACACTCTTTATGAAGCAGAGATGACTAACGAAGAAACTTCCGTCAGTGTCGATCATGTAGCAGATATGGAGGTTGAAGAGCTGAGACAACGATTAGAAGGGATCGGTCGGTCCATTAAAGGAACCAAAGCGGTGCTAGCCGAAAGACTCCGGAAAGCATTGACGAAAAATGCTACAGAGGTGATGGATAAGGAGCTAGCAAGTGACGACGACGAAAGCGAAGACGAAGACGTGGAGAAAGAGCTGAATGTAGCCGAAATGCGTACAGCTGAGCTGAAAGCCGAATTGCGAAGTCGTGGACTTAAAGTGACGGGCAGAAAGGCAGATCTTCGTATAAGACTGCAAAGAGCTCTAGATAAAGAGTCGAGCGATGAAGAAAATTCGAGCAGCGAAGAAGAAGATGGAGACAATTTAACACGACGAAGAAATGTGGGCCACAGACGTCGAGTGACGGAGACAGGACCAGCGCTAACCTTCAAAGATGTTCGTGAGTCCATGGAATCGTTCAGTGGTGATTCTGGTGAAAATATCAACCGCTGGCTGAAATCTTTCGAGGAGACTGCAGAAATGTGCAAGTGGTCGGACGCTCATCGAGTGATTTACGCAAAAACATTATTGAAGGGATCGGCAAAAGTGGTTGCTAATTTCGAGACTAAAGTGACAACATGGCGTGGCTTGAAGAAGACGCTAGTGAAAGAATTTGTGCAGACAATGAACAGTAAGCAAGTGCATAAAAAGTTGGCACTCGCTGAAAAGAAAAGAGACGAATCTTATCAAGCTTACATTTATCGTATGTTGGAAATGGCGAGCCATTCTAATATAGAGACGGAGTCAATTATGCAGTACATAGTGGACGGAGTAAAAGACGACGAGGCGAATAAATCAGTATTGTACGGTGCAAAGACAATCAAAGAGTTACGCGAGAAATTTCAGTTTTACGAAATGCAGAAAAATAACAACGGTAAATACAAATCACAATTTAAAGGCACAGTGAATGACAAATAGAGGAAGCCAGTGATAGATAATAGACAAGGAATGGAAAAACAAAAACATTGTTTCAATTGTGGCGCGAAGAATCATATCAGCAGAGACTGTCCAGAGAAGGACAGAGGGCCAAGGTGTTTTAATTGCGAGGGTTATGGTCATATTTCTACTGCATGTCCCCAGAAAAAGAGGAGTGCCGTGGAGACAATAAAAGTAAAGGCGAAGGCAAGAGTTGATGCATTAAAATCTGCCGACAAAAAAACATACAAAGAAGTGGACATCATGGGACAGAAGGTAAAGGCCATCATCGACTCAGGTAGTGACCTGCACCTAGCACGCGCTAGCCTGTATGTGCGTTTGGGTGCGCCGCCCCTCCAGCCAAAGAAGATTCCGTTCGATGGTGTGGGTGCACCCAATATGAGTACACTGGGCCGATTTAGGACCCAGGTAGTAATTGATGGATTAAACTTCGAGTTTAATATCGATGTGATTCCTGACGAATATATCGGGCATGACTTTTTAATTGGAGGAGAATTATCAGACTACGCTGAGGATCGGTTCAAGAACCGTGCTATAACACTGACGCCGTTGGATCCAGAGGAGAAGACAGTGGAGACGGATGACCCAGGATGGAGAACCATACTCAACATCAACGTACATGATGAGCGAGACGACGAATTGGATTTAAGACACATCAGCGACGTAAACATCAGAGATGGGGTAAAAGAGCTGATTGAAAATTATGAGCCGATAAAAACCGAAAACGCGAACGTAAAAATGAAAATTTTATTAAAAGACGAGGAGCCAGTGTACCAAAATCCAAGACGACTGTCTGCCGACCAAAGTAAGGTCGTGAACGAGACCGTAGAGGAATGGCTTCAGCGAGGTGTTGTGAGGCCAAGTACCTCGGACTATGCTAGCCCTGTGGTATTAGTATCAAAGAAGAACGGAAAATCGCGATTGTGTGTGGCCTACTGAATGTTAAATCGTAAAATCATACGTGATAGAAATCCGTTGCCACTGATTGAGGATCAGCTGGATAAATTGCAGGACGCCGAAGTATTTTGCGCATTAGACTTAAAAGACGGTTTTTTTCATGTGCCGATTGAGGAAGGGAGTGTGAAGTACACCGCGTTCGTGACACCAGATGGACATTACGAGTTGTTGAAAGTGCCGTTCGGTTTGTGCAATTCACCCGCCGTGTTTCAGAGATTCGTCAGAGCCGTGTTTAAGAAGTTGATTAATAATGGAGTCGTGTTGACATATCTCGATGATTTAATCATTCCCGCGAAGTCTGAAGTAGAAGCCTTAAAAAAGTTGAAGGAAGTGCTAGAGACCGCAATGAAGTTCGGACTAATTATCAATTGGAAAAAGTGTAAGGTATTAGTGAGACGTATGGAGTACCTAGGGTATATCGTGGAGCATGGGCAAATCCGCCCCTCTGAGGAAAAAACGCGTGCTGTTAAAAATTTCCCGAAGCCGAAAACAGTCAAATAAGTGCAGAGTTTTTTTGGGTCTTACGGGTTATTTTCGTAAATTTATTCCGCGATATGCAGTGCAAGCGCGTCCGCTATCGAATCTGTTACGCGATGGTGTAACGTTCCAGTTTGGGCCAGAACAAGAGGCGCCATTCGAGAACCTGAAAGAAGCATTGGTCCAGAAGCCGATCTTGAAGCTATATCGACAAACGGCCGAAACGGAGCTTCATACAGATGCCTGTAAGGGAGGACTAGGTGCTGCCATAATGCACCCTGAGGACTCTGAGGACGGGAAATTTCACCCGGTATACTTTGCCAGCTGGAAAACGTCGCCGGTGGAAGAGAGATATACTAGTTACGAATTGGAGATTTTGGCTATCGTTAAGGCGTTGAAAAAATTCCGGGTATACCTGCTAGGGATTGATTTTAAAATAGTGACGGATTGTCAGGCATTTGTCCAAACAATTAAGAAAAAGGACATTTGTTTGAGGGACGCTCATTGGGCATTAATGCTGGAACAATACCGATACACAATGGAGCACAGGCCAGGTACATCAATGCGTCATATGGACGCACGAGCCGCAACCCCGTCCAAGTGTTATATCTGCAGGAGGGCCGAGGCGGATTAATTGAATGAATCCAAAAGGCGCAGCGAGAAAATCCAGAGGTATTGAAAATAATTGAAGCAGCACGGAAGAAATCTAGCGATTATTTTAAATTGTCTTCTCAAGATATTTTATATCGAGAGTTTGCTGGAGATGAATTATTGGTTGTGCCGAGAAGTATGCAGTACGAGGTGATTAGAGCAGCACACGAACAAGGTCATTTTGGATGGAGTAAAACGGAGCATTTATTAAGGCAGTTGGTTTCCAAACATGAAACAACGAGTGCAGAAAGTAATTGACAGTTGCGTGAGGTCCATCTTATCGGAGAAAAAGCACGGAAAAGGTGAAGGCTTTTAAATGTTATTGAGAAGGGAAATACACCACTACATACGTATCACGTAGACTACCTGGGGCCAATGCCATCGACGCGGAAGAGCTATTGTCACATATTTGCAGTAGTGGACGCATTCACGAAGTTTGTATCGCTCTATCCTACTCGATCTACGACAGTTGAGGAGGTAATTAAGAGGCTGAAAACGCAGGCAATAATATTCGGCAATCCACGAAGAATTATTTCTGACCGCGGAGCAGCATTTACTTCAAGGGCGTTCCAGGAGTATTGTGAGGAAGAAACGATTGAACATGTGTTGGTGACGACTGGAGTACAGAGGGGTAATGGGCAGGTAGAAAGGGTCAACCGGACAATTATACCTGTTCTGACGAAATTGTCAATGCCCAAGCCCCTAGAATGGTATAAGTACGTGGATAAGGTTCAGCAGATGATTAATTCAACATTGAATCGGAGCATCGGGATAACGCCGTTTGAATTGTTAATTGGAACAAAAATGAAGTTAAAGGACGACATTGAACTTCGACGATTGATTGATGAGGAGATAATTGCGATATTTGATGCAAACCGCACGAGATTGAGGGAAGAGGCACGAGAAAAATTATTGAAGGTACAAGAAGAAAATAAGC